CAATGTTGTCTGTTAGGAAACTCTTCTTTGACGCGTAGAACTGTAACAACGTACAGGCTGGTGGTGCATCCTGTAGCCGTGGGGGATGCTACGGGGGATGCTTCGGGGCAGGTTGGCCGAAGCCGCATGACCAATGAAAACGGGAGAATGCACATGGGTGGCACAGGACCAGTGGGAGCTGGCACCAAAGGGATGAGTCACATGACCTCTGCCGTCTCTGTGAATGATTAGTCGATGTTCATCTACGTCTGCAACTGTGAAGCCCGCGGTTGCCTCCTGAGAGGCCACGCAGAATCGGCCCCTAACACGTTAACACCAATCGGCTCCCTCTTTTCTAATTAACCATACCTTAGCGCCCAGGGCTTGAAATAGTGTGTCGACCTCCATCCGACCCAGATATACAACTAATCCATGGACTTGGACATGTCACGGCATAACCCTACAGCCTTGCCCCACGGCCTCATCCACCAGCCTTACTATATGCCTCAGCCTTGTCACAGACCAGATCTGACCAGACCAGACTGGACCCTCCCCTTGCCGATGACTACTTACAGCCTCGCCCACGCCACATGTCTCCTCGGCCTCTCCACATCTCAATATTCCACTTATGTGACCCTCACAGCATGCTCATGAAACTATCGTACGCCTCAGACAATGTCTCAGACCCTATACGGTATGTTACGGAACCCTTATATACCGCGGTGCAATGTCTCACAGAAGTATGGAGAGCGTTAGAAATCAAACCCTCTAACGCAATCTGGGAATGTGACGAGAGGGAGGCCTTCGCCCCCTCTCTTGAAGGGTCTACATAGCTCGCCTCCAGACCCAGGAACCTTCTTAGAGGCTCCTTGTCTTCTGTCTTGTACTTATAGTGCACCAGATGGCAATATCATTGTCAGCCCAGGCCTTCACCCACGTCTCGAAACCCTCTTGGGGCCCTCCTAACTCCCCAGAGGCCTTCGCGTGATACGTCCCTGACAGGAACAGATCCACCGATATCTGACATTCAGTCCCGATCCTGTCGCAGATGACGCTTCATTCTTTGACAAACTTGAGCCTGTTGCATTGATTATATGATCCAATTGTCAACAGACAGCTTTTCCTTCATCCTGGCTATCGGTGGACGAAGCGATGTTGGCGCACAAGGGCCGCACGAAGCATACAGTTAAGGTCAGGACAAACCAATTCCTGAAGGCTACAAAGTGTGGCTTCTCTGCTGTCGAGGCGGGTACATCATCGATTGGCTCTTCCACAGCAAAATTGAAGGTACATAAGAAGGTTTGCGGCACTGCAAGACACGATATATGCAACCCATCCCACTCCTACCAATCCAACTTGCGGAGACTTACCAAGTGCCTGTCCGGTTCCTATCGAAGTTGGGTGCCTGCCATTCTCACCAAAACTGGCAAGCGTTCCTGGACAATTTATTCCTCAATAGTGATGTGGCCCATGTACTTCTTTAACTTGGTGTAGGTGTTATGGGAACCACCCGCAAAAATTCAGTCGACATGCCTCGAAAACTACGTAATCTGAAGGAACTGAATACAGCATCGGTCTATGGAGACAATCTTATGGTTCTGTGGGGTCATATTCTATGTTTTGCCTGGCGAGACAACCATAGGGTTCTCGGAATGACTACCGCATACTCTCTACATCGCCCCAAAGAGGACTTCATGGTGGATAAGTGGCGATCCAAAGAGACCTCTACCGACAACCATATTGCTAAATCGGTATTCGCCGAATGAGAGAAGGAAACACCTACCTATTCCTGTCGCAGCTAATGACTACAATCACGTTATGCTCTCTGGAGACAATAGCAATCAACTCCGGAGCTCTCTTTCTCTCGCTCTCTCTACTCCACTCAGGTTCCAGAGCTGCACTTGGTGCCCCACAAGCTTCTTTCTTTTGATGTTGCTCTAGGCAATGCGTTCGTTCCCCGGAGAGAGTCTCTGTCTAGTAGAATGCGGAGCTAACTGGGGGGCCTATGGTATGATGTATAATATATAGTATTTGACATGTAAACACTACAGTAGGGACTTGCAGGTATATCGGATGTGTACCGAGTAAGTTTCCAGGTTATCGGTGAATCGGTATACAAGTGTAATAGTAATGGCACTACATAGAGGCTTCTTGAAGCCTTATTTTGAAACTCGACTCGACCCGGAAGAGCACTGCTCGCGCTCGCAAACTGTAGGCTGCTCTTCCCAAAGGCTGCCCCTATTCCGGTTCCTTGTGTGTATGCTTGTCTTGTGCTCTTGCACGCTTTTTTCAATCGCTTGTTCTTCCAGAAGAATAGCTGAAAGACAAAGATAAAAGTTGTGAGGTCGTTCGAGATGCGAACCCATTCCCTCTTTTAGTATCTAACAGTCTCTAACCATCCCTAACTCCCTTCCATATCGCATAATATCTCATGATCGTCGCTCCGTTTCGCAAATCCAAAACCCCTGATTCCTGACTCCTGACAAATTCCAAAAGGCTCAGCCAGGCACCAAGTCCCAGGTCTTCGAGAGCAAATGATGGCCCGCCAAGCACACCCTATTCTCGCTGCAAGTAAAAGTCGTCCACGCCATTATACCGGGAACCGGGTGTTCCGGCGGGGTAGAAGATCTTCTTCAGCACCATTAAACACAGCGCGAGGAACACGCCCGCGATCGCCCGGTCGATGGTGATGGTATGTTCCCTGTCCCTTCCCTGGCCCCGCCGGAGAGTCAGGGGCTGCGCACTCTGTGCAATCGCCGCATTGGCCGCGGCTAACGGGGCATTGTGCAGCCCCGCGAAAAACGGTCGCGGATGATGAGTGTTAGCAGAAGAACCTGTGTTGGACGAAGCAGATTGAGCAAAATCGCCCGGCGTGAGGACTGACTCAGCAGAGGCTTGAGCTGCTTCCGCGGAGGGCGTAGGGACCATGGGGATGCATCGCTGGCTGGCGGGTCGGGTGAGGTTGGATGAGTTGGATCGTGATGAGTGTGATGAGGACGACGGCGGAGGTTGAGGCTTGGAGGATGGTGGCACTGGTACCGATGCAGGTTGCGCAGGGGTATCGGGATCTGGATTTGTAGAAGGTTGTAGCAACCGCTCTTGTGGCAGCGTTGTTGTCACCTTTGCATCTTCCTGTTCAGCAGCTCCTGTTGTTTGCGAAGGGACGCCGGGTTTTGCATTCGGGTCTCTCGCCTCCAGCGTCATGCCCTCCGGCAGGCTCTCTAATCCCAGATCCTCCTCTGCCGAGACGTTGACACCGGCCTCCCGACAGATATCCCACCACTCGCGCATAATGGTCTCATTCGTTTTGCGACAAGCCTCGCATTTCCAACTCCGACTCTCCTTTGCCAGTCTTCTCCTCACGTCCGCAGGTGCTTCCAAGCCTCCAACTTGGCCAGCTGAACCCTTCTCGGCCATGAACGTCCGGAGCGCCGTTAACGCGGTCCGGACACCCCAGGCGGGCATCCACGTCTCTTCGTGGAACCCGGATATGCTCAGACAGATCTCGCGGTTGACCTCAAACCTCCCTGACGGCGTGAGAAATCTAAAGTTCGGCGGCTTCAGTGGGTATGTGGCCGGCAGCGTGATGCGCCCGTGGTACATGCCGCCAGCGTATGGGGAGGGAGAGGGAGGACCGAGTAGAGTGAAGTGCCATTCATGCAGGTCGGAGTCGGAGACAGGGCCTGCAAAGAAGGCGGGGTTGGGGTTCGAAGAGGGCGAGGAGAGCTCGGCAGTCTCCTTGAGAAGGCGCCGGATCGTAGGCGAGGGAGCCATGGTTGTCTGAATCTGGTAGCAGAGGTCGAGGCAATCCGCAAGTTGAGGCTCAGGATGAGGTCATTGAGTGGGCAATAGGCTCCAGTAAAGATGCTGTTCGAACGCTGGTTTGGTGTACGAAGGAGTAGATGCAGGGCAGTATGAGGTTATGAGGTCGATTCGGGCACAGACTCCCAGCGAAACATGAGGTTTCCCGCTTTCGTCGAGGAGGTCAAGGAATGGGCGCATGCCGTTTGCAAGACAAGGCTGACCTGCGCCAACTTCTCAGCCTCGTGATTCTTGGAAATGGCTGGCCGCTTTAAGGGGTTCCTTCCAAGGCTGAGATGATGTTCGTCTCTTTTCATTTTACAAAGTCGTTGCGCAGAAGGGTTTCCAACAGAGGTAAGACTTGAACGGAAATACCCTGTTCAAGACACCTGAAGCATTGTTTCCAGCTTACAAGAGGTTTCTATCGATGGTGTCTAGCCTTACTTTCGACTGCTACACCACCACCCGGTGCACACCGGAGTCCACAAATCTCCACGATCTCCAATTATTGATTGAACGATTGAGAGAGCCGCTCGAGTTCTTACCGACAAAGCGGTCCACATGAAGAAGGTGCCATGTTGTTTGCTCCTAAGAATAAAGCTGCCCCTTTCTTGATAAGGGCTGCGACTCGTCCCATGGCGCCGCATATCCTGGACCACTCTCAGGGATCCCCCAGGGAACGAATCTTCTCTTCCCATCTCAACTGGGTAGTCGGAGGGTGAGAAGCGGGATGTGATGGACATGGCGATTGGTGGCAGCCTCGTCCTATGGCGTCGCAGAACAACCGCCTCGTCTCAACTCGGTCACAGCCTTGTCCATGCGAGGCAAGGGGCGCGTTTCACGCTGCTTCAGCCACGAACCCCCTTTGTCCCTTACCCTCATCACTCCAACCCTGATGCATCTGAACGAGCAATATCACAAAAGTTTAAAAGGTAGGTAGGGACGTGTGATCTGTGAATGCAGTCTCGCCATATCTTCGCTTCCTTTTTTCTTTAAGACTTACGCAAACACTTGCTATTTGCCCTTAGGCCTGAAAACTTTTGCACAGAGCATCCTCATTGAAGTACTGTGCCTGGCACCTATTGCTTCCGAGTATACATTCAATAGGCCGGGTCGTCAATCAAAGACTGCCAGAGAGGATGTGGTCGCCCAGTCGCATCACTCGCACATCTTCTAGCCATTCCATCGCCGTGTCAGTAGCTTCCGTGGCCACATCGACCATGAGCCAGAACTCTTCACAGCTGGCATCGAGTCCGGATACAAATTACAGTGATAACGACGATGACGGTATCCTGTCTTCATACCAGGGCGAGAAGCAGAATCATGATCCATCACTTCAACCGCAACTCCAGTATCAAGCCGTGCCGTTCGATCCGGAAGATATGCCTCTCTGGCAGCCCAAGAAACGAACACTCACCTTGAACTCGCACGAGCATTTCCTCGTCGCAGCCAAACAGCACCGCGAAGTGCATCAGAACTTGGAGATGCAAAGAAAGCGTAGTGAGTCTGTTGCGACAGACGATTCGCACGCCACACTGGCTGAGGATGCTTCTACGACAGACCAGGCTGATGATATGGATCTCAAAACCCCAACTGTAGCTGGACTGAAACTTCCGAACGAGACTGAAGACCAGCTTGTCAGTGATCCCAGCCCTTCGATCGAGACGGCTGGTCCTATGTCCGACCTTCTCCGCTCCATCCTCATCCGCGTCGTCGACGTTGAACGGTCTCACCCGACAATCATGTCCAACGACTATGACGAACTCCAAACCCGCCTCACCGAGCTTGAACGTGAGAATCAAAACATCCTCAGAAACCACGCTGATCTGCTGTCCCTCCGCAATGAGGATCTCTCCAACCTGATTAAAGTGAGGGATATGCTGGCCGAAGAAAGACGAGGACATGCCGCCATGAAAAAACTGAGAGATGAAGACTTGGAAAACGTCTTGATGTTGAGGGGGAAGCTTGCCAAAGCAACCTGGGCTGGGAGATTGCAAACCTCGCAACCACAGGACCGACGTTCCATCCTGGGAGGTGGGTCCATCACGCCCACGCTACAGAGAACCTCACGGCCCGAATCAGATGATCTCTGGCAACAAGCCCGTACTGCTGCAATGGAGCAACGTGTATTGGAGCTTGAGAAGGCAAATACCGAGTTGCGGACTCGTTCTATAACAGCGCCAAGCGTTGGTACCCTTCCAGTGGCCCATGGTGCAACGGGAGGCGATTTGCCGTGGAGTCGAGTTGAAGCCATGTTCGAAGATAGCCTGAAACATCGCGAGAAGATGGCGACCAAGGTCCAGCAGTTACGGTCAGAAAAGGAAGCACTACAAAAAGAGGTGGCAACGCTGGAAGACCGGAACGCCGAGCTGGAAGCACTCGTCGAGAGGCTGAAGAGGGGGTTCAGTGCTGTGCATTGACACTGCGATGATATAAGGTGTTTGGGATGAAAAAGAGCAAGTGCAAGGGCCAAAGCAATCAGGTCCAGTAAAACTACGATAGAGGAGAAATGTGTTAACGAATCCCTTTTGAACATAGAGAGGCCAACTCACTGTATTGTTGCAAATCGACCACCATGTCGTCTAAGAACCACTGAATGTGAAAACGTGCTTCCACATCTCGACTCTCGCTTCTACATACTGTAGCAGTTTTCCAGCAGTAGTCGCCAAATGATACGAGCACATGCCTGAGAATCCACGATATCTTCCCGACCAAGTCCAGGGAATGTGACATCTTGAATAAATTCCTTGGTGTGCCGGCTATGCGCCGGGCTCGGTTAGAAGCATAGATTCTGATCTTGGATTACATCCGATGACACAGACCTGATCGACTCGACGTAATCGACGTACCGAAGGAGGTCCTGGTCATACATGCTTTTGTGGTGATGTCAAGTCGGACATACTTGCACCACTTGTGTACGAGGAGTGGCGGTCTTGGTGTGCCTGCCATGCTTTTGGACAAAGTGTTGTTCAATCGGCTCGTCAGGGGTTTGGCAGCCAAGGCGGTCAAACAACTGGCTTCGCCATGCCCCTCTGGGGACAAAATCGGCCTCCCATTACCAGGGTCTCCTGGCATTCATTCGCACCTCCGCATGCCTTGGGTGTTTATTTTCGTCTTTTGAGACCACGCGTGTTAAAACCCAACATTGTCTGCCTTCCTTTTGGAAGGTTGCTCCTGAGCAGCGAGAACAATATCTTCGACGCGAACCAGATTAGCTGTACCCCTCCGAGCCCCTCGGTTCCTCAGATGTTGCAAACTGGGCGGTGCGAGATTGGGGTCTTAGCAAAGGAGACCTGTGGTTCCGTGGAGGTTCTCGAATCGCAGTGACTAAGGCACAAGGGGTTTGGGATCCAGCAAACTTGATGACCGATGCAACACAAACGGAAATTGTCCCAAACCTCACAGGGAGCTTTCTCAATGTTCGAGTATAGTCTCCAAAAGAAAAGTGGATGGGTGGGGAGCTATGGTAGCTTTGGCGGCTTGTGGGTATTCCGACGGGCGCGAAGGAGGCGGTGTCCGCTGCGGCTACTGGTGGTGCTGGGGCTCTGGAGCTTTGCCTTCCCTGGCTTAAAATGCGGCAAACTGCGCAGTGTCATGTCCCCATGTAACTTGGACCGACCACACGGAACAGCTCGAAGCCACAATTGGCGAGCAGCCGGCAGGTTTTGACTTTCAAAGATCTTTAGCGGTCCAGGAGCAGAATGCGGCTGCCGGGGAAAGTGCTCCGGAAATGCATTGTTCGAAATACTTTCACCGTCTCTTCTGATGCCACCAGTTAGATCGCCTGAGCATGCGAAATGGCGCGATAAGAGAGGGACACGAGGGAATAATACGAGACCGGCGGACCTCGTCAGGTGTTCGGTTTCGTCGTAGCTATGTACCAGCTTGTCCTCGTACGATTAGATTCTCAGGGAGGTGGAGGGGTCACCTCGCGGGGCTATGACTCGCCTCGCAGAGCAAGCGCTGATTGCTGTGCCGTTGACTTTGCAATAATGTGATTGCTTCAGTGCCACAAGGTTTTGGTTGTTCCAAACATGACTCTTTTTTTCCCGGGACAGGATAGGTGTAGATACATGTTCTAGAGCTCATGTACGACTCGTTATGAGCAGGTCGAGTCGTTCTTCTCTCGTCAGGAGAGTTGTTGTTAATCTTTCTTTTTTGGGGGCCCGACTGGTGCCGAGTTGCTTCTGCCAACAGCCCTCTGAATCCCAGCATGTACCCACCGCAGGTCCACCAGACTGGGTTTGTCCACGAGGATGGGACTCGGGAGTCTGGGACATGCCTCGAACCAGGGCGCGGAAGGAGGGGTTATGCTTCCTAGCCCTTGACAAGTCCCGCCACGTCAGAGAAAGGGGATGCCCGTCTGACATTAACAATCTTGTCCATTTCTCAGCTCTGAGCAGTGGTCAGACGGGTTTATCCTTGTAACAGACGTGGTTAGCGAGCTCCACGTCGTGGTTGAAGCCCGCGTCCCCCTCCCATGAGATCAAGGAGCTGCAACTTGCAAGGGAAAATGCAGGAACAAGAGCCAAGGCAAGATTCTAAGTGCTGACGATCCGACACTTTGTTTTCTTCCCACTTTTTTTTACTTGGTGCCACGATTGACTTAATCTGCGCGGAGCAACAAATGCCAGTCGTTGATTCGATTAAGTGGCCACCTGTTCTCACCGTTGTGACCACCATAAGCAAATAATTGGTTCGCGAGTCAGTCCAATGGGAGAAACTGCGTGGATGTAGGAGGTGTTGTGACTGGGAGCATCGTTTTTTGGGCGTGACGCTGCATGGGCAACGGCACAAGCGTGGGTACGGACCGAAGCTTGTGGCCGTGAGATTCGAGAGATGGCTGGTGAAGGTGAGGTGGCTGGGGGCTTAGAGCAGAATCAGTCACCTCCCAAGCCCTGAGGAACATCAACCCATCCAGCAGGATGGCATTCGAAGGGTGTGGTGAGCGCAACTCGGACGCCTTCTCTGTAACCATAAATGGGCAGTTTGCCTGCAAAATGTGTCTCGTGACGGCGGAGGTCAACTTACCATCACTTTCTTTCTAGGTTGAGGATGTGCGCCGTGACTCGGCTGCCATTCGTGGGATGGGCTCTGGGTTGTCCGTGGCCAAATTGACCAGTATCTCGGGGCCAGGGATGAGGCCTTGAAGTGGGCTTTCCCAGCACTCCGGTATCTCGAAAGTGGTCTTCCGCAGGGAATGAGAGGTGTAGGAGTAGTAAAGAGGCCATACTAACTTTCCTAACGTTAGAGTCCAGGCCGGTTTGATGGGTTTGTTGTCGTAGACTGCCGGGGAAGTGGCTTGAAGGAGGGATGGGGACTTGGTGGATGGATGAGTGTCTCTTCTCGAAGGGTGGCACCCTCGAAGCTGTGTGGGAAGGGAGAGGAAGGGAACAAGGACCCGCCAGCTGGGAATGGCGCGGGTCCGTTCAGGTCTGTTCGGGTGCCCCTCGGCCAGTGATGAGCTGGTCAATGTAGTAATTTTCAGGGGCTTCAGGGTTCTCACCGAGCGGGATCATGGGCTGAGGGAGATGCCTGGGCCCTCGCCTGGAATCTCTTGTGAGCTGGAGGCCTTCCCCCCCAAGAGCAGCCCTCCCCTCCGTCCTTTCCCTCCCTCACTCCCTCCCTCCTTTTGCCCCTCCTCCGTTTTCATTTTCTTTTCATCGCACACATCTCTTTCCCCCCTGCGCTGTACCAACACACCCTTCGTCGTCGTTATCTCGTCGACGGCTGTATTATAATTTCCATCACCTTCGTGGCAGCTTGTCGCTGCAGGTCGGTTGATACTCGACACAGACTTCACGCATACACACGTGATCCACTTTGACTGGCGTTCTTCGCCAATCGAGTCTCGGAGACGAATCCATTCAAGTCACCGTGCGAACCAACCCAGCGACCCAGCCAGCACTTGCTTGCAGAGAGCCCACAGCTGCAGCCAACCCTTCCTCAAATCCTACCTCTCACTCATTCTCTCAATTCGAACTCGAGCGTGCGCTGATCCCACGCGGAATGATCACGACGATATCAACACCTCTGAACCAACTCACTTTCGAGCCAAAGGCTTGCGCCTGGTCGGAGGACTTTTAACCCTTAATTTACATCCACCATGGCTCAGTCTGACGCTGTTACTGCTGTTGAGCCTGCCAACGCCGCAGCCGCGACGACGACAGCCCTCCCACCCAAAAAAGCCGCCTCTGCGCCCGAAAAGAAGTACAAATGCCAGTACTGCAATCGTGCCTTCAGTCGCAGCGAACACAGGAGTCGACACGAGCGGTCGCGTAAGTCACCAACTTTTTTTTCGGTTGTTGCGACGTGGGGCACCAAGGAGAAATCCAACCCCGCCATCAACAATCTATCTACTATTTGACTCTTTGTTAACTTCTCATCCCTTGACAGACACCAAGGAGCGTCCCTTCAAATGTCAGAAATGTCGCAGCACCTTTGTCCGCCGAGATCTGCTCCTACGCCACGACCGAACCGTACATGCGAAGGATGGCGGTGTACCTCTACAGTCTGAAGGAAGGCAGAAGAAGTCGAGTACAACCACAGGTACAGATAAAGGTGCAGGCGCAGGGACGAAAGCGGCGCCCTCAACGGCTACCGCTCCGTCCAAGCCCTCCATCACCATCGATCCTGGCACGTTGGAGCAGATAGAGGCAAGCAGCGATGGTATGCTCGACCTTGAAACTGCCGCCATGTTGATGACAGACTTCCAACACAAGGCGGCCGCAGCAGCGAACGGTCATCTGAACAACGGCGAAGGGTCAATCCCCGGCTATTCCCCAGACCGCAGCTCGCTCCTCGAATCGTCCGACTATCTCGGTGGCGCCAACAGCCTACCCCATATGCCCTGGGACAGCTTCATGCCCCAGGGCCCATCGGAGCCCAAGGCGCATTCCATGTCCAGCATGTCGTCGCAAGATAACCTGTCACAGCCGCCGTACATCCACATGGGATCAATACATCCCCATCAGTCGCAGCTCCCTCCCATCATGGAACGCACAAGCTCGCTCAGCGCCTCTCTGCCCTCTGCCTTTCCTGGCCTTGCAGACACCTTCCCCGTCTCTGGGACCCATACGCCCAATGCGCTCTCGCCGTTTCCGTCAATGACCGGTCCCGTCTCGCCAGTGAATTATCGCAAGTCGCCTGGTCCAGCCCAACCCCTTTCCTTACCCAAAGCTCCACAGTTTAACAACGAAGATGAGAGAGCTATGATTGCTAATCAACTAGGAGGAGACATTTCCCTTCCTTCGTTGCCCTCTATCAACCTCTACCTCACCACATACTTCAACTTATTCCACCACCATCTTCCATTCCTTCACCCTGTCAGTTTCCGGCCCGAGACAACTGAACCGGCTCTTCTCCTTGCCATTCTCTCCATTGGCGCCCTGTACAACTTCGACCAGGAACAAGCCTATCT